TCCTTCTTTCCTTCCTTCATTCATTTCTTTCTTTCTTTCTTTCTTTCTTTCTTTCTTTCTTTCTTTCTTTCTTTCTTTCTTTCTTTTTTATTCACTTTTATTTTTCAGTTTATCAGACTCCATATCCTTCCTTCCTTCATTCATTTCTTTCTTTCTTTCTTTCTTTCTTTCTTTCTTTCTTTCTTTTTTCTTTCTTATTCACTTTTATATTTCAGTTTATTAGACTCCATGTTTTTCCTTCCTTCCTTCCTTTCTTTTTCCTTCCTTCCTTCCTTCTTCCTTCCTTTTTCCTTCCTTATACCTTTTATATTTTTTTTTTTCACACTTTTATATTTTAGTTTTCTTCCATGTTTTTTCCTTCATTCATTCATTTCTTTCTTTCTTTTCTTCTTTTTTTTTCTTTCTTTTTTTTTTTCTTTCTTTCTTTCTTTCTTATTCACTTTTATTTTTCAGTTTATCTCACTCCATCCTTCTTCCTTCTTTCCTTCTTTTTTTTTCTTTCTTATTTCTGTTATATTTCAGTTTTCTTTTTTTTTTCCTTTTCTTTTTCTTCCTTTTCTTTTTTTCTTATTCACTTTTATTTTTAGTTTATCAGACTCCATGTCCTTCCTTCATTTCCTTCATTCATTCTTTTTTCTTTCTTTTCTTTCTTTCTTTCTTTCTTTTTTTTTCAGTTTTTCTTTCTTTTCATTCATTTCTTTCTTTCTTTCTTTCATTTTTCTTTTTATTCACTTTTTCTTTCAGTTTTTTTTTTCATGTTTTTCCTTTTCTCTTCCTTCCTTCCTTTTTTTTTTCTTTTTCACTTTTTATTTTCAGACTCCATATCTTCCTTCCTTCCTTCATTCTTTTTTTTTTTTCTTTCTTTTCTTTTTTTTTTCTTATTCACTTTTTATATTTCAGTTTATTAGACTCCATGTTTTTTTTCCTTCCTTCCTTCCTTCCTTCCTTCCTTTCTTTTTTTTTTTTTCTTAGTTTATCACTTTTATATTTTAGTTTATCACATTCCATTTTCTTTCTTTCTTTCTTTTTTTCATTCATTCATTTCTTTTCTTATTTCTTTCAGTTTTCTTTCTTTCTTTTCTTTTTCATTTCTTTCTTTTTTTTTTTCTTTCTTTCTTTCTTTTCTTTTTTTTTTATTTTCAGTTTATCTCACTCCATGTTCTTTCCTTCATTTTCCTTCATTTCTTTTTTTTTTTTTCTTTTTTTTTTTCTTTTTTTTCTTTTCTTTCTTTTTTTTATTCACTTTTTTCAGTTTTCTTTCATTTTCTTATTCACTTTTATTTTTCAGTTTATCAGACTCCATGTTTTTTTCCCACCTTCCTTCCTTCCTTCCTTCCTTCATTCCTTCCTTTATTTCTTTTTTTTCTTTCTTTCTTTTTTTTTATTCCATTTTTTTTTTTTTCATTTTCATTTTTTTCTTTCTTTTTTCTTTCTTTCTTTCTTTCTTTCTTTCTTTCTTATTCACTTTTATTTTTCAGTTTATCAGACTCCATATCCTTCCTTCCTTCATTCATTTCTTTCTTTCTTTCTTTCTTTTTTCTTTCTTATTCACTTTTATATTTCAGTTTATTAGACTCCATGTTTTCCTTCCTTCCTTCCTTCCTTCCTTCCTTCCTTCCTTCCTTTCTTTTTTTCTTATACACTTTTATATTTTAGTTTATCACACTCCATGTTCTTCCTTCTTTCCTTCATTCATTCATTTCTTTCTTTCTTTCTTTCTTTTTTTCTTTCTTTCTTTCTTTTTCTTATTCACTTTTATTTTTCAGTTTATTTCCATATCCTTCCTTTTCTTATTTCTTTCTTTTCTTTTTTCTTTTCATTCACTTTTTATTTTCAGTTTATTAGACTCCATGTTTTCTTCCTTCCATTCCTTCTTCTTCCTTCCTTCCTTTCTTTCTTTTTTTTATTCATTCATTTCTTTCTTTTCTTCATTTTTCATTTCTTTTTTTTTTTTCTTTCTTTTTCTTTCTTTCTTTCTTATTCACTTTTATTTTTCAGTTTATCAGACTTTCTTTTTTCATTCTTTTCTTTCATTTCTTTCCTTTTTATTTTTCTTTTTCCTTCTTCCTTCATTCATTCATTTCTTTCTTTCTTTTTTTTTTTTTTTTCTTTTCTTTTTTTTTTTTTCTTTCTTTTTTTTTATTCTTTTTATTTTTCAGTTTATTTTCTTCCTTTCTTCATTCATTTCTTTTCTTTTTCTTTTTTATTTTTCACTTTTATATTTCAGTCCATAGTTCATGTTTTCTCCTTCCTTCCTTCTTTCCTTTTTTTTCTTATACACCATTTTATTCATGTTCTTCTTTTTCTTTCATTTTCATTTCTTTCTTTCTTTCTTTCTTTTCTTTCTTTCTTTTTTCTTTTTTCTTTTTTTCTTTCTTATTCTTTTATTTTTCAGTTTATCAGACTCCATGTCTTTCCTTCTTTCCTTCATTCATTCATTTCTTTCTTTCTTTCTTTTTTTTTTTTTTCTTTCTTTCTTTCTTTTTTTTCTTTTTCTTATTCACTTTTATTTTTCAGTTTATCATGTTCTTCCTTCTTTCCTTCATTCATTCATGTCTTTCTTTTTTTTCTTTTCTTATTCACTTTTATATTTCAGTTTTCATTCATTCATTCATTCATTCATTCATTTCTTTCTTTCTTTCCTTTCATCCCTCATTTTTTTTCTATGCCTTGAATTCTTGATTTTCTATTTAGTTTTCTTTCGCATAGTTTTCAAGTTTCTACATTATTTCTGGGTTTGACGATAAACTACATCTAGCAGCAAGGCCTCTGATCGAGAGATTAGAGGTTTTCAGGAGCGTGGAACCACTTGATAATTGTTGTTCCCAGGTTCACCCTGAACCGGGATGGCAACACAGCTCTGGGAAAATAGTAAACCCCGAAACAAAAACAAAACACTATAAAAGTATGAAAATACATTTTCATATCAAAAATACCAGTAATTCATTTCTATATTAAAAAAAATTACCAACACTACATAATTATAGTAAAATTACCCACAAAACATATTTATAGTATATATTTAGTTGAAGCCACAAAATTGTGTTCAAAATATTTACATTTTGGTATTAAATAACCCATAGAGGTGTTGATAGGCTGCCAAACAAAATCAACCAGCCAAACAATCAACATAAAAGAACTTTTTCATGGCATTAGTCCATATAATATCCTACAATTTCTTAAAGAAATCAATCTGTATTCCAAAATATAATTTCAACAAAACTACAACAAAAAAACACACCACCTCTAGTAATAGTAATTATGTTCGCACAAACATATATATGTACAAAAGCTGAGTATCATCTACCATGTATTCAATTGTGAAAGCAGAATAACATATATCATATTTTTATTACTTCAAAGATCCCAAGAAAATTAAATTTTGGCATTAAATGAGTCATAAGGAGTTTATATGCTGTTAAACCCACAAATGACATCGAATCAAAACTTTTTCGACCATCTTGGTCTTTACACTTGCAAATCTGAAGAGACAAAGTCTGCCTGCCGGGTAAAGTGTATTTGAAACTTTTAAGAATGGACAATAAATAACCTTATCAAATGCTACGTATAAAATAATGTATAAAAAGTATAAAATTATGTACAAAAGATCTGTTGATAAAGGCATACAATTGCGTTCAAAAAATATTTAGCGGAAGCAATAAAATTGATCACAATAATTCGATCTCAGCATTAAATAACCCATAGAGGTGTTGATATGCCACTAAACAAAATCAACCAACCAAACAACGAACATAAAAAGAACTCTTACAAATTCTTAAAGAAATCAAACTGTATTCCAAAATGTAGCTTTAACAAAACTTTATTATAAAACACTCATATCATTGCATCTTGGAATTACGTCCACACAAACATGCATAAAATCAGAGTATCATCTACCATGTATTCTGTTGGGAAAATAGAATAACATATATGTTATTTTTATTACTTCAAAGATCCCGAGAAAATTAAATTTCAACATTAAATGACCCATAAAAAATTTATATGTCGTTAAACAAACATATCAAATCAATTTTTTTTCTTCTTCTTCTTCTACTTCTTCTTCTGCTGTTTCTTTTTCTTCTTCTATTTTGTCTTCTTTTATTTCTTCTCGATCTTGTTCTTTCTTTCTTTCTTTCTTTCTTTCTTTCTTTCTTTCTTTCTTTCTTTCTTCTCCTTCCTCTTCTTCTTCCTCATTTAGCCCGTTTTCGTTCATGTCTCATCTTCCATATGCTTCTTCCGACGAACGTAGCCAATTTCTTTCTTTCTTTCTTTTGTTTTTCATTCCTTCTTTCTTTCTATTTTGTGTTTATCTTTCTTTCTATTTTGTGTTTTCTTTCTTTTATTTTGTGTTCCTTTCTTTCTTTCTTTCTTTCTTTTCTTCTTCTTTTTCACTTTCAGAATGATTTTGGTTCGATCCTGTCGTCGGCATGCTTCTTCTCATGAATGTAATCATCTTCTTCTTGTTTCTTCCTAGACAACATTTGCAAAATATAAAGGAAGATTACAATTACGTCGATTGATTTTGTTTCGAATGCTTGCTCAGAAAAAAACAAACAAACAAAAACACAATCAACAACAAACAAAAACAACAATATAATCTGGAAAAACTTATTTAGATATAATTACCTCTTGTTTTTTTAGTAAATAACATTTCTTAATAAATGTAAGTGTATTAACAATGTAGGTTCTATGAAAAATCCTCCAACATTAAGTGACTCCCTTTAACAATTCTCAAAGTAATTGTTTTGTGCATTACTTAGTTCTAAAGTGAGTTTATTTAAAATGGCGGGAGTGGAATGGCGGGAAAAAAATGGAACAGCTAATTTTGCATCCTTCTTCATTATACAAATTCACCTAAATGCTTCAACCAAAACTGAAGCCGATGGAAAACTGTCCCTAGTGACCCCTCCAGGTCGGCCAATGCTTCAACCTCGCTTTATATTTTGCTATTCTTTGAATTTCTATTTTTTTTTCTATTTTGATTCTTCGTGTCAGAATAAATGATTTACATTTTAGATATTCTTTCTTTCTTTCTTTCTCTCTTTCTTTCTCTCTTTCTTTCTTTCTTTCTTTCTTTCTTTCTTTCTTTCTTTCTTGCTTGCTTTCTTTTTTTCTTTCTTAATATGTTCTACCTTGCTGGTTTGTTTCTTTTTTTCGTTCTTTCAATGTTCTGCGGTGATTAATTCTTTCTTTCTTTCTTTCTTTCTTTCTTTCTTCCTTTCTTTCTTTCTTTCTTTCTTTCTTTCTTTCTTTCTTTCTTAATACGTCCAACCTTCTTTTTTTCTATCTTTCTTAATTCGTTCAGCTTTCTTTCTTTTTTATTTCCTTTCTTTCTTTCTTTCTTTCTTTCTTTCTTTCTTTCTTTCTTTCTTTCTTTCTTTCTTTCTTAATACGTTCAACCTTATTTCTTTTCTCTTTTTTCTTAACACTTTCAGCTTTCTTTCTTTCTTTCTTTCTTTCTTTCTTTCTTTCTTTCTTTCTTTCTTTCTTTCTTTCTTAATACGTTCAACTTTCTTTCTTTTTTTTTTCTTTTCGCATCTCTCGTTCACTTGCGCCTCTTCCGTTTTTTCTTCATTCCTGCTCCTTGGCTTTATTTCCGGTCATATTCTACTTTCTTTTCAGCCATTTTTTATTCATAGTCCCTATCATCTTTTCATAATGTTTTCTCGTCCTTTGTTTTAGATCTTTAAAAAAATTGCTTATTTTTTTTTTTATTTAGGCATAGACACCACTTTTTCTCCCTCTCACCCACTCCCTAGACAGAACTCATCAAACTCGACGCCACACCATCTATCCATGTTTTCAACCTTTTCCTCCTCCTACACGTCTGCCTCACCCAATTTTCATCGTACAACTGCATCACAGCAGGCGCATCTTCCTGAATGCACTAACGTCTGTGCAAGTCTGCAAGAGTCTACAATCTGGCGCCGCCGACGGAAAGAGCCGGATTCGATCGACTATTTACGGAGAAAACGAGAGGCGCGCGCGCGGTGCCGAGTTCACGACAGCCCCGCCACCTGGCGTCGGATGTCTGCCGCGTGCACAATATGCTATAGAAAGTGAATTGCGTCATCCAAGCAACAACAAAAAAAAAAAAAAAAAAAAAAGAAGAAGAAGCAGAACAAGAAAGAGGTGGAAGGAGGTGAAAAGATGGTGGGTGCCGGAGAAACCTTTCAAGATAATTAAATCGTTTTTTTTGTGTTATTTTCTTTTGGTTTTATGGTTCTGGTAGGATCGGTCCGGTCTCCCTTCTTCGTGATTCTTATTGCTACGGGAATCTTTCTGCTTATTCTTAATTTACTTAGTTTCTTTCTTTCTTTCTTTTGTCATTTTTTCTTTTTTTTTCTTCCTTTAATTTCCCTCCTTTTTTTGCTACGGGAATCTTTCTACTTATTCTTAATTTACTTAGTTTCTTTCTTTCTTTCTTTCTTTCTTTCTTTCTTTCTTTCTTTCTTTCTTTCTTTCTTTCCTTAAATTCCCTCCTTTTTTCTCCTTCAGGGTTTCTTTCCTAGTCTTAAAAGTAAATGTATGTACATTCAATCTATCTATCTATCTATCTATCTATCTATCTATCTATCTATCTATCTATCTATCTATCTACATGCAGTGTTTAACAAGCTGGTGTGCAAAACTATTCTTCACGAGTCTTGATTTTTTAAATTTGACCTTGTGCAAAGCATAGGCTCTAACTTGGCGGTGATCATTTATATGATTTATAAACACGTGCCTTTAATTTATATTAGATCTCCAAGCATTACATGTCTTATCTCTCTCTCTCTATCTATCTATCTATCTATCTATCTATCTATCTATATGCATATATATATATATATATATATATAAATGTGTAAACACACAAACACAAACAGCATATATATATATATATATATATATATATATATATATATATATATAAGCAATCTAAATGGATATAAATACAGAATATTTGAAAAAACAAAACAAAATCATAAATATAAATATCGATCTACGTTTTGGTTTATTAAACCTTTTTCAAGACAATATTCATCAAAATACAATTCAGTTCAATATGACAAATACGATGGACATAAAAACACAAGTCTTATTCAGAACAGATAACTGAAAATTTTTAAAATGATCAGCCTTCCGTCTAACATGGTCACGCTGTCGTCACATGGGCGACGCTTTCATGTCCATCATATTTGTATATTGAATGAATTGTATTTTGATGAATATTGTCTTGAAAAAGGTTTATAAACCGAAACGTCAGACGTCGATTTTTTTTTCATTTAACTACATTTAAGGATTTTTGTTTGTTTTTTTCAAAATTTTTATATATATATATATATATATATATACACACAGATGAGGAAAAAAAATTTATGACGCGTTTCGTCTTTTAGGACTTTTTTGGGACTAAATTTGTTATGCTGGTGCAACTACACATGCGCACGAATGAAGGATGCTGGGAATTTTAAATCTGAATTTTTTTTGTCTATTTCATTTATATATATATATATATATATATTCACTCGTGTAGTTCACTGCTACTAACAAGTAGGAATTTCTTTTCTACGGATGATGGCCATGCTCGCTGAAACTAGTAGAGAAACCTAATTGAAATAAAATAAAACAAATATATTGACATACAATCCAGTGTGTCTTAAAATTTTAATTTTTTAATATTTATTTTGTTTTGTTCAAAAAATTTTCCAGAGATTGAAATTTTATCAGAAATAAAAAGTAATGCAAAAATATTTGGCCTCTTCTTTCGTTTCTTACCGACATAAAACCATTTTCAGGAGTGAAGGAAATGTTTTAATGCCTTCCTGAAGTTTCTAATCTAATATTGCTTGATGTCTGAAACATCAATATGGCAAAGATTGTCAAAGGACATCACCCATTTCTTTCTTTCTTTCTTTCTATTTCGATATACGTTCTCTTACACTTTCTGTTTTACGTTTATTCACATTTTCCTGCTCTTTCCTTTCATTTTCATTCATTCATTCATTCTTCTACTTTTTCAATCACTTTGCTTGACTTTTTCATTTTCATTCATCTTAGAGTGCCTCTTATTATTTTTACTTCTTTCTTTCTTTCTTTCTTTCTTTCTAATTAGTCTTTCTCTGATCTCTTCTCTATGACGTAATCGTTGCTCATCTTTCAAAAGTAAATTCATTCTTTCATTCATTGTCTCTCGTTTTCTAATATTTTTATTGATTCTACTTTCATTTTCTTTTTACTTCTTCCATATTTTTTCTTTCTTTCTTTTTCTTTCTACACCTTCCTCTCCCTTTTCTTTCTTTCTTTCTTTCTTTCTTTCTTTCTTTCTTTCTTTCTTTCTTTCTTTCTTTCTTTCTTTCTTTCTTTCTTTCTTTCTTTCTTTCTTTCTTTCTTTCTTTCTTTCTTTCTTTCTTTCTACACCTTCCTCTCCCTTTTCTTTCTTTCTTTCTTTCTTTCTTTCTTTCTTTCTTTCTTTCTTTCTTTCTTTCTTTCTTTCTTTCTACATCTTCCTCTTTCTTTCTTTCTTTCTTTCTTTCTTTCTTTCTTTCTTTCTTTCTTTCTTTCTTTCTTTCTACATCTTCCTCTTCCTTTTCTTTCTTTCTTTCTTTCTTTCTTTCTTTCTTTCTTTCTTTCTTTCTTTCTTTCTACATCTTCCTCTTTCTTTCTTTCTTTCTTTCTTTCTTTCTTTCTTTCTTTCTTTCTTTCTTTCTTTCTTTCTTTTGTCTGTCGCTCCTCGCTAGGTACCCAACTATATGGCTCCTCCTGACTTACCTAAGTTATTAAATATCAACATATTTCATTTATTTATCATACAGACGTCGACTGTGTCCTCCCATTTCAAATACATTGGCTCCCCCCACTGACGAAAACTCATTTCAGATAATTAAGAATATTAATATTTAACAAGTTCACATATGTCTGAATGTAAGGGTCGCTGAAACAAGGAACTTGCCATTAAACACGTCTTCCTTCACTGAAAATAGGCGTCTGCCTTAAGCGACCTTCGACAAGATAGTCTGGCAAACCATTCCTAGTATATTGACTTTGATCATCATCGTGTACCTCCATTGCTTTTATCTGACTTAACCAAACTTCACAACTGCTCAATTTCTTGTATTCTATAAAAAGATATACAGGGTGTCCATAAAGTTCGTGTACACTTTAAAAAATTTATAACTTTATTTGTATTTGCGATAGAAATAATCTGTAAAAAATGTTATAAAGTTTAATGTACCTAATTTTATGTATAGCTAAAATAACTAATGTTGTTTCAGGCATTACTGTAAATCAGTGGGTAAATTTTTTCCGTGAACTGTAAAATCGTATTACCCTTTGTATTACTAATGATGGAGGACATATGGAAACTTAAATAAAATTTCAATAAAACCTTAACAAATATAGATTTACTTCTTTTTAATCCTTTCTATAAATTATTTCTATCGCAAATACAAATAAAGTTATACATTTTTTAAAATGCACACGAAATTTATGGACAGCCTGTATTTTATTTCTTCTTACTGATGTCCTATGTCACCACTTCACATATCTGAAAATGTTTTATTTTTCTCTTAATAGTTTTGGAGCAGCGAACGAAGCATGACATTTCTTTATTCATTGGTCTTCTTACTATGGCAGTGAATCAGGCAGGGATTTAAAACTCTCCGTAGATGAGGATCAAGTAAGTAGAATCAATGACTGTCCTGAAATGGCTTTCATGATATCTCACAAAAAAAACCCCCTGTTCCCGAGTTTTCTACCAGTTGCAAAGAATCAGATGTTGATGAAATTAGTGAAATCAGTGATTGCTTTGCAGAAGCTAACATGATATCTCACAAGAAATCTTATTATTTGTGAGTCTTACTCCATCAGTGGATCAAGTATTGATTCATGTCAATTTATCTACGGCCATGATGAAAGTGAAAGCCATGAATTCCAGAGAGCAACTGATGGGATATTTAGCTGATATGACATGAATGTCTTTTTTTTCTTTTGTTTTTTTTCAAAAGAAATCATCCCATGAAAGGTTATAATGCCGCTAAGACGCATGTAGCTGCTGGGAGTAAAAGAGAATGAATAGACTTAAGAAAGAAACGGAAACCCAATCCTAAACAGGAAACAAGGGATAAACCTCTCCTCCTGTTCAAAAGACCAGGGAGTAGAACCTATATACTCCTATTGGGAGAGAAGAAAAATAACTAAATAATGAATTAAATGTCACGGCTCTGTCGGCGACGTTAGAAGTATAGAGTTGAAATAGAATTTAGAAGGAACCGGAAACCCAATCCTAAACAGGAAACAAGGGATAAACCTCTACTCCTGTTCAAAAGACCAAGGAGGAGAACCTATATACTCCTGTAGAGTTGAAATAGGCTTTGGAAGGAACCGGAAACCCAATCCTAAACAGGAAACAAAGGAATAAACCTCTACTTCTGTTCAAAAGACCAGAATGGAGAATCAATCTACTCTTATTGGGAGAGAAGAAAAACAGAAAAATAAATAATTAATGAATGAAATTTCAGAGCTCATTCGGCGACGTTAGAAGTATAGAGTTGAAATAGATTTCAAAAGGAACCGGAAACCCAGTCTTAAACAAGGGATAATCCTCTACTTTTAAAAAACAACGGGGAAGAGTGTGAACCGGACGATAGACGATCCAATCTACTCATATTCAAGCAAATAAAATTTCAGTGTTTAGGCTGAGACGTTGGGAATACAGATTTGAAGTATACTTTAGAAAGACCGTAAACTCAAATCTTAATTAGGAAAGAAGGGATAAACCTCTACTCCTGCTCAAAATCTCGGGGATGAGTGTGAACTGAACGATAGGGGAACATATCTACTCCTATTGAAATGTTTACATTGAAGCTGTTAATTTGAATCGTTCCTCTTCCGTATTTCCTCCCACGGCTACTTTTCTGTATCTTGTAGAATGTAGCAATGCTGTGTCAGCATTCAAAATTCGTAAATTTTTTTCCCCGAATGAGAGCGACGTCGATGAAAGACACGTACAAAAACGATCTTTCCACATTGCCTCTTCGGTCGGTTTCTTGGGGTAGAGAAGAAAGGCATCTGGTGAGCAAATGAAGCGGTAATCACACATCGAAATATTAATGATAACAGAATGAATGGGAAAGAGTCTTCATTCAGAAAATCCATTTTTTTTGTTTCTTTTCATGTTCAAAATTAATGTCTTTTTTTTTGTCAAAGGCAAAAACCGGTAAAGAGCGAAATAAAAAATGAAATAGAAGAAAAAGGATGAGAAAAAGAAGGCAAGATAAAAAGTGGGGTGATATAAAGAAAGAAGAAAGAATTCGGAATGAGGGAAAAGAGAAAGACAATACTAAAAAAAGAATGAGAAAAAGATAGAGAGAAAGAAATAGAAGGCGTAGAAAGAAAATGTTAAAGGAAAGAAGCAATAAAGGAAAAACGATTTGGAAGAAGGAAAGAAAGAAGTAAACAATGAAGGAAGGAACGGAAGGAAGTAAGGAATG